CGAAAGCATTGAAAAGCATCCAGAATAATCCAAAAGAATTAAAAAAAAATCGAAAGAATCTGAAAGAGAGGATCAGAAAAAAATTAAAGAATCTAAAAACATCTGAAACAATCTGGAGGAATTTGAGAGAATGTGAGAGAATCCGAGAAAATCTGAGAGAATTTGAGATAGTTTGTAAGAATCTGAGAGAATCTCGAAGAATCTTGAGAAATCTAAAAGAATCTAGAAAAATCTGGACGAATTTGGAAGAGTCTGCAGGGATCTGAGAAAATTTGTAAGAATCTCAAACAATCTGAACAGAACTGAGAAATTTAAAAGAATTTTGAGTATTGCGATTCAGCAGGAAGAGTCGTAAAGAAATTGAAAGAATTTGAAAGAATCTGGAGGAATTTGAGGGAATCTGGAAGAATCTGAACCAGTTTGCAGGAATCTGAAGGGATGTGGAAAAATTTGAAAGGATCTGGCGGGATCTGAGATGATTTGAGAGGTAAAAAATCTGTCAGACTCTCGCAGAATCTACGAAAATGTGAGAAAATCGAACGAATCTGAAGGAATCTGAGAGAATCTGAGAGAAATTGGAAAATTCGAAAAGGATCTGAAGGAATCTGAGGAAACTTCTTAGAATCTGAGCGAATTTTGAGGAATTTCGAAGGATTTAAAAAAATCAAAGAGAATCTAAAATCTGGAAGAATTGGAAGAATTTTGAAGAATCTGCAGGAATTTGAAACGATCTGAAGTGATCTAAATAAAACTGAAAAATTTGAAAGAATCTTAAGGATTCCTGACGGTGTCTTTGAAAGCATCTGCAAAAATTAGAAGAATCGGAAACAATCCGGAAACATCGAAAAGCATCGGGAATAATACAAAAGAATAAAAAAAAATCGAAAGAATCTGAAAGAGCATTTGAGGGAGTCAGAGAGAATTTGAGAGAAATCGGGAGATTCGGAAAGAATTGGAAGGATTCTGAGAGAATTTAAGGGAATGTGAGAAAATTTGAGACAGTTTGTAAGAATCTGATAGAATCTCAAAGAGTCTAGCAAAATCTAAACGAATCTAGAAAAATCCGGAAGAATATGGAAGAATTTGGAAGAGTCTACAGGGATCTGAAACGATTTGTAAGAATCTCAAATAATCTGAACAGAACAGAAATTTAGAAAGAATCTTGAGTATTTCGATTCAGCAGGAAGAGTCGTAAAGAAAATGAAGGGATTTGAAAGAATCTGGAGGAATTTAAGGGAATCTGGAAGAATCCGACCCAGTTTGCTGGAATCTGAAGCGATGTGGAAAAATTTGAAAGGTTCTGAGATTATTTGAAAGGTAACACATCTGAAAGGCTCTGGGAGAATCTACGAGAATGTGAGAAAATCGAGAGAATTTGAGGGAATTTAAGAGAGTTTGAAGGAATCTGAGTGATTCTGAGAGAATCTGGGAAAAACTGGAAGATTTCAAAAGAATCTGAAGGAATCTGAGGGAACTTGTAAGAATCTGAGAGAAACTGGAAGATTCGAAAAGAATCTGAGGGAATTTTGAGGAATTTCGAAGAATTTAGAAAAATCTAAAAGATTCTAAAAACTGAAGGATCTGGAATGATCTAAATAAAATTAAAAAAATTTAAAGAATCTTAAAAATTTCTGATGGTGTCTTTGAAGAAATCTGCAAAAATTCGAAAGGATCTGAAACAATCCGGAAGCATCGAAAAGCATTCGGAATAATGCGAAAGAATTTAAAAAAGTCGAAAAAATCTGAAAGAGAGAAAATTAAAGAATCTAGAAGCATCTGAAAGAAACTGGAGGAATTTGAAGGAATTTGAGAGAATTTGGATAGCTTGGAAGAATCCGGAAGCATTTGCAAAAGTCTGTAGGGATCTGAAAGGATGTGTAAGAATCTCAAACAATCTGAATAGAATTGAAAAATTTTAAGGAATCTTAAGTATTTCAATTCAGCAGGAAAAGTCGTAAAGAATTCGAAAGAATCTGGAGGAATTTGAGGGAATCTAGAAGAATATGAACTAGTTTGCAGGAATCTGAAGCAGTGTGGAAAAATTTGAAAGGATCGGGACGGGTCTGAGATGATTCGAAATGAAAAAAATCTGTAAGGCTCTGGGAGAATCTACGAGAATGTGAGAAAATCGAGAGAATCTGAGGGAATCTAAGAAAATTTGAAAGAATCTGAAGCATTCTGAGAGAATCTGGGAGAAACTGGAAGATTCGAAAAGAATCTGGAGGAATGTGAGGGAACTTCTGAGAATCTGAGCGAATTTTGAAGAATTTAGAAGAATTTAAAAAAATTAAAGGGAATCTAAAAAACTGGAAGAAGTTGGAAGAATTTTGAAATGATCTAAATAAAACTCAAAAATTTGAAAGAATCTTAAGTATTCCTGACGGTGCTTTTGAAGGCATCTGAAAAAATTCGAAAGAATCTGAAACAATCCGGAAGCATCGAAAAGCATCCGGAATAATCCGAAAGAATTAAAAAAAAATCGAAAGAATCTGAAAGACAAATTCAGAAAGAAAATGAAAAAATCTAAAAGCATCTGAAAGAATCTGGAGTAATTTGAGGGAATCTGAGAGAATTTGAGAAAAATTGAGGGATTAGGAAAAAATTGGAAAAATTCTGAGAGAATTTAAGGGAATGTGAGAGAACCTGAAAGGTTTCGAAAGAATCTGAAAGAATCTAAAAAATCTGGAAGTGTTTACAGGGATCTGAAAGGATTTGTAAAAATCTGGAGTATTTCAATTCAGCAGGAAGAGTCGTAAAGAAAGTGAAAAAATTTGAAATAATCTGGACGAATTTGAGGGAATCTGGAAGAATCTGAACCAGTTTGCAGGAATCTGAAGCGATGTGGAAACATTTAAAGGATCTGGAAGGATTTGAGATGATTTGAAAGGTAACAAATGTGTAAGGCTCTGGGAGAATCCATGAGGATGTGAGAAAATCGAGAGAATCTGAGGAAATTTAAGAAAATTTGAAGAAATCTGAGAGATTCTGAAAGAATCTGAGAGAAATTGGAAGATTCGAAAAGAATCTGAAGGAATCGGAGGGAATTTTGAGTAATTTCGAAGAATTTAGAAAAATATAAGAGAATCTAAAAAACTGGAAGAAGTTGGAAGAATTTTGAAGAATCTACAGGAGTCTGAAAGCATCTGAAAAAATTCGAAAGAATCTTAAACAATCCGAAAGCATCCAAAAAGCACCCGAAAAAAGCCGAAAGAATTAAAAAAAATCGAAAGCATTTGAAAGAATTGGAAGGATTCTGAGAGAATTTAAGGGAATGTGAGAGAACCCGAGAGAATCTGAGAGATTCCGAAAGAATCTGGAACAATCTGAGAGAATTTGAGATAGTTTGTAAGAATCTAGAAGGATCTGAAACTATTTGAAAGATAAAAAATTCTTGAGACTGAAAGAATTTGAGAAAATCGGGAGAATCTGAGAGAATCTGAGAGAATCTGAAGGAATCTGAGAGAAATTGGAAGTTTCGAAGGAATCTGAAAGAATCTGAGAGAATTTGTGAGAATCTGAGCCAATTTTGAGGAATATCGAAGAATTTGGAAAAATCTAAGAGAATCTAAAAAAAACTGGAATAATTTTGAAGAATCTGCAGGAATCTGAAAGGATCTTAAATGATCTGAATAAAATTGAAAAATTTGAAAGAATCTTAAGGATTCCTGAAGGTGTTTTTGAAATCGTCTGAAAAAATTCGAAAGAATTTGAAACAATCCGCAAGCATCGAAAATCATTCGGAATAAGTCGGAAAGACTAAAAAAAATCGATAGAATCTGAAAGAGCGAATCAAAAAGTGAATGAGATCGTCTAAAAGAATCTGGAGGAACTTGAGGGAATCTGAAAGAATTTAGGAGTCGGAAAGAATTGGAAATCTAGAAGAATAAAAAAAAAACTGGAAGGATCTAGAACAATCTGCAGTCATTTGAAACGATCAAATGGAAAAATTGATAGAATATGAAAAATTTTGAGAAAATCTGAGTGAAACTTGATAGATTTTGGCATAGGCCGCAGGTATATTAGCAGTTATTAATAACTTCAACCGTTTTTCTAGACTCGGTCGTTGAAATATCTAAATTTTTGGAATTTTTGAAAAAATTGATTTTAAACCCGAACAGTTTAAAAATGTTGCGCGGTGAACATTAACACGCTATATTTTTGGAATCAGCACGTCGAGATCTACGTCCATAAATTTTTTGATAATTTTTGGACAACTTTTTTATAAATTAATTTTTTTCATTCTTCAAATTCGACCCATTTTTCACCATTTTCGAAACTTAACTAAATACATTTTCTTGTAGATTTCGGGCCGCAGAAATCACTTGCGGCCTCATTTCTTCGATAGCAACAATCGTTTTTCCAGAATCGCGCTCCGAAATAAAAATCTATACAAATTACGACCAATTTTCGACGAAATTTTCGAAATTTAACCAAATACAAGTAACATAATTATACAGCTTTTATCGCTTGCAGCAAGAAGTAGTTAATATTTCTACTAATGCGGCGTATTTTGTCTCTAAAATCAAGCTTCCATAAGAATCCCACTGTAGAATTTTTGAATTATAAACTGGCGCGCAATTGTCGATTCTAACCTTAGTTGAGCGGTCAAGACTGAAATGTCGACATCTACCGGACATGTATCCAAACTAACATTAGCAAAGAGAAATAAACCTTCATAAGAAGTGCGTTTTTTTTACTACTCTAGGACAACTACTCAACTGAGCAAAAATTCTACCACTCATTTTATTCGCTTTTAGTTTTTCTACCTACACTGCTGCAAATAAATGAGAGCGTAACACGAGTAGAAAATAATAGGCTTGTTACCACTAGCAGTGACACCTTCCTAAAAATAACTAATATTTTAAAATAATTTACTCGTAGTTTTATTACCCAGATTTCTTTCACGCGAAGCAAGAACTACTCGGTAGTTAAAAAAGTACCCACTATGAAGCACGTGGTGGTCAGTAAATGACATTTCACATTTTGACATTTCCCTTAGCACGAAATTGACGGTGTGGTGGTCGGAATTTACAAAAAAAACGAAATGTTGGAAAAAGTATCGTTCTTAAACGCGAAAGGTTTGCTACCCGGACGACGTCTGTTTCGGAACACAAAATGCCTAGCACAGCGATTTATTTGTGAACGTTATAGAAGTGATAAAGCTGAAAAATGCGGGAATTTGAAACCTAACCTTAATGTTTCAAACTTTGTCAGTATTCGTAAATTCAAAAAACCGAAACTTGCAGCAACAGGTTCGTCCGACACTTTAATTTTGAATCACACACTTTTAAACCAACACGTAACGAATTTTTCGAAAAATGCCCATATGTCTAGTAATAGCAATGTAAATGGTTCAAAACACTTTAAATATCAGATCGCTGCACACAAGTCGCGTTTATCTTCAACAGTTTGTAGGTGCATAAAATTAAATAATAGAAGTTCTGCCAAAACAAGTTTACCACTTAGAAAGTTTAAAATCTCAACAATAAGTGAACATGGCTTGTTGGAACAAAACATAAGTTTTGCTTTGATGCATACAAATAGAATGGCTTTGAATATTTTGAGTAGAAGATTTTCAACAATCACGACTTCTGATGATTGTAAAAAACCTGACCCAGTTGACAGGCTTTATGTCGCCCCAAAAAATATTTTAAACAATGCGTATGATGTAGTTGCACAGCAGCTGAAAAATCGTGATTTTAGACTACAACCAGTTTACAACATCATTAAGGGAAAAGGTAAAAACTCATCCTGGAGTTGCACATATCACATTAAATGGCCAGAAGTGACAAAATTTGTATCTATTGGACAAACTAAACAGGAAGCGTCGCATAAAGCCGCAATATGTGTTTTACTTTGGTTAAGAAAGAACGAGAAAATAACAAAGGAGGGATTTCCAATTGTCGTCGGAAAAAATGAAGTGAAAGAAATTGTAAAACATACATTACCGTCTTTAACTCTGGATGCTAACACTGTCAATCAAATGAAAACTATAGCTGATATTTATAAAAATCAATTTGTGCCTAAATTGACGAAATGTGTGGAAGCAAAACATGTACCTACTCCTACTCTTGATGAAGTTGGTGATTCATTTCTTAGCATGAGTGGGAAAAAACGGTTGTTTGGGGTGGCTAAGTATTTAGCAAAGGAGAAGATTTCGTTACCTATTTCACAACATAAGTATGTGGTGTTGGTTTTATGTTCAAGAGTTTATTAATAATGATTTTGTGTTCACAGGGAAGATTTTATGAAACTTATAAAGGAAAATAGGGTGGTTATTATTAAAGGAGAGCCAGGTTGTGGAAAGAGTACACGAATTCCACAGTATGTGTTGGAATTGTGGGCCAAAGAAGGTTTAGCACGAGGGGAACCATGTCAGATAGCTGTTACACAACCAAGGCGCATTGCTGCTATATCTCTGGCAGATCGTGTTTCTGATGAAAGAAATGAAAATGTAAGTTATGCCTTTATTGCTTCTTTCTGATGATAACCCATATAAAAAAATTAGTAAGTTAGTTCAAAGATGGTCAAAAATTTTTGTTTCGCCATTGTGTTTTTATTTCTCAAATAAACAAATATAAGACAAAAAGATGGCTCGATTTGTAATTCTTTGTTGTTTCAATTTTTCATTTTTCTTAGTTTTTCCTCTTTCTTCAATTTTTCATTTCGTCAATTTTTCGGTTTGTAATTCTTCATTTTCTTAATTTTTCAGTTTTTGACTTCTTCAATTTTTAGAATTTGCAATTTTTGTATTTAAAATTTCCAGAGTTTTCAATTGTTAATTTTTCAATTTTTCGTGTCGGTTTTTTATTCTTTATTTTTTCAATTTTTCGGTTTTTCAATGTGAAATTTTTCAATATTTCGATCTGCAATTTTTCGATTTTTTGACCCTTTGATTTTTGAATTATTCATTTTTCAGTTTTAGATTTTTCCGGTTTCCTATTCTTTCAATTTTTTGTTTCTTTGCAATTTTTCGAGTTTTCAAGTTCAAATTTTTCAGTTTTTCAATTTTCCAACTTCTGAATTTTTCAATTTTTAGATTAAGGAATTTTTCGTATTGAGTTTCCCCGAGTTTTCAATGTTAATTTTTCACGTTTTTGCTTTGCAATATTTCAAGTTATAATTTTTTGTTTTTTAAAATTTCCCGAGTTTAAAATTTTTCGATTCTTTAATTTTTCAGTTCGTCAAATTTCCGATTTGTAATTTTTCGTTTCGGTTTTTTTCATTTTATCAAATTATTGGATATTTCAATGTCTCGATTTGTAATGTTTTGTTTTTTCAATTTTTCTTTTTTCTTAATTTTTCCTGTTTCTTCAATTTTTAGATTTTGCAATTCCTCGATTAAAAATTTCCCCTTTTCAATTTTTCGATTCTTTATTTTTTCAATTTTTCTGTTTTTCAGTGTTCTGGTTTTATAATTTTTCTTTTTTAGACGTGAAATTTTTTAGTTTTTGGATTTTTCAATGTATCGATCTGCAATTTTTCGATTTTTCAACTTTTGGAATTTTGAATTACTAATTTTTTCAATTTCAAATTTTTCCAGTTTCATGTTCTTTCAATTTTGCATTTCTTCATTTTTTCGGCTTGCAATTTTTCAAGTTTTCACGTTTAAATTTTTCATTTCTTCAAATTTTCGATTTATAACTTTCCGTTTGGTTTATTTATTTTTTTTAATTTTTCAATTTTTCAGTGTGGAATTTTTCAATATCGATTTGTGATTTTCCGATTTTGTAACACTTGGGTTTTTGAGTTTTTCGGTGTGCAGTTTGCAATTTTTCAAGTTTTCAAATTTTTCATTATGTTTCATTTTTCGATTTGGAATTTTTCGACTTTTGAAGTTTTCAGTTTTTGGATTTTGCAATTTTTCAATTAAGTTTCTCAAGAATTCAATTTTTAATTTTTCAGTTTTGCAATTTCTCATTTCGGTTTTTAATTGTCATTATTTTTCAATTTCAATTTTTTCGATTTTTCGTTTCTTTAATTTTCCATTTCTTCAAATTTTCGATTTGCAACTCTTGGTTTCGGTTTTTATTTTCTCTCTTTTTTAATTTTTCATTTCTTCATTGTTCCGATTTTTTAATTTTTTGTTTTTTCGATTTTTCAATTCGCACTTTTTCAATTTTTATTTTTTTCTTCAATTTTGCTATACGCATTTATTCAATTTTGATTTCTTCGATTTTTTTATTTGCATTTTTTCGTTTCGGTTTTTTATTTTCTTTATTTTTTAAAATTTTCGGTTTTTCATTGTTCTGTGTTCTGATTTTATAATTTTTCTTTTTTTCAATGAGAAATTATTCAGTTTTTGTTGTTTTTTCAATTTTTCGATTTGTCAACTTTTAGATTTTTTTTATTTTAGATTTTTCAGTTCCTCGATTGTTCAATTTTCTATACTTTTTTCGTTCTTCATTTTTCGATTTGGAATTTTTTGAGTTTTCAAGTTCAGATTTTTTATTTTTTCTATTTTTCGACTTTGGAATTTTTCAGTTTTTAAATTTTGCAATTTTTCGATTTTACAACCATTTGATTTGTGAATTTATATTTTTTCTATTTTAGATTTTTCCAGTTTCATGTTCTTCCAATTTTCAGTTTGTTCAATTTTTCGGTTTGCAATTTTCCAATTTTTTTTTGTTTCTTGATATTTTCAATTTGCAATTGTTCGAGTTTTCAAGTTTAAATTTTTCAGTTTTTCAATTTTACGTTTCGATTTTTAATTTTCGGTATTTTTTTCAATTTTTCGGTTCTGCAATGTTTCGATTTTATAATTTTTCTTTTTTTATTGTCAAATTTTTCAGTTTTTGTTTTTTTTTTTGTTTTTTTTTTAATTTACAATTTCTTGAGTTTTCAATTTTTCGATTCTTTAATTTATCATTTTATCAAATTTTCGAATTGTAATTTTTCGTTTCGATCCTTTATTTTCTCAATTTTCCAATTTTTCCAGTTTCATGATCTTTCAATTTTTAGTTTCTTGGATTTTTCGGTTTGCAATTTTTCAGGTTCCATCTGCGATTTTTCGATTTTTTAACCCTTAGATTTTTGAATTTTGAATTTTTTAATTTTGGATTTTTCCAGTTTCATATTCTTTCAATTTTTCGGTTTGCAGTTGGCAATTTTTCGAGTTTTCAACTTCAAATTTTTCAGTTTTTAAATTTTCCAACTTGTGAATTTTTCAATTTTTAGATTTATGATTTTTTGTTTTTAAAATTATTAATTTTTCTTATTTCTTTAGTTTTTGAACTTTGCAATTCTTCGATTTAAAATTTCCCGAGTTTTCTATTTTTCCATTCTTTATTTTTTCAATTGTTCGGTTTTTCTATCTTCTAATTTTATAGTTTTTCTTTTTTTTAATGAGAAATTTTTCAGTTTTTGGATTTTTCAAATTTTCGATCTACAATTTTTGATTTTTCAAATGTTGGATTTTTGATTTTGCATTTTTTCAATTTTAGATTTTTCTAGTTTCATGTTCTTTCAATTTTTCAGTTTTAAATTTTTCGGTTAGCAATTTTTAATTTTTTTTGTTTTTTCAGGTTTTTGGTTTGCAATTTTTTAATTTTTAGATTAAGCAATTTTTCGTATTGAGTTTCCCGAGTTTCCAATTTTAATTTTTCACGTCCTGGCTTTGCAATTTTTCGTTTTGTTTTTTATTTAATTTATTTTTTCAATTATTCGATTTATAACTTTTTGTTTTGTCAATTCGATGTAAAATTTCCTGAAATTTCAATTTTTCGATTCTTTAATTTTTCATTTCGTCAAATTTTCGTTTTGTTATTTTTTGTTTCGGTTTTTTATTTTCTGAGTTTTCCAATTTTTCGTTCTTTTTTCAATTTTTTAGTTTTTGGATTTTTCAATTTTTCAATCAACAATTTTTCGATTTTTCAACTATGCATTTGATTTTTGAATTTATCTTTTTTTCAATTTTAGATTTTTCTAGTTTCATGTTCTTTCAATTTTTCGGTTCCTTCGATTTTTCGGTTTGCAATTTTCCAGTTTTTCTTTTTTTTTTGTTTCTTCATATTTTCGATTTGCAATTTTTCAAATTTTCAACTTTAAGTTTTTCAGTTTTTCAATTTTCCAACTTTTGAATTTTCCAATTTTTAGATTTTGCAATTATTCAAATTGCGTTTTCCGAGTTTTCAATTTTAATTTTTCAAAGATCCACGCTTACAAATCTATTTTCTTTCACCAATTTTATTCTAAGTAATTTCGAAAAAGCTAGAGAAGTTCATACAATATATACAGACTTTTGCAAAGCCTTTGATAAAGTTAATCACTTTAATTTAGCACACAAATTATATCTCTATGGCATCAGGGATCCTTTACTCTCTTGGGTGACTAGTTACTTAACTTCCCGAACCCAACAGGTCAAGATTAGGAAGACTTTTTCAAAAGTTATCCATGTAACTTCAGGTGTTCCCCAAGGGTCGATTATAGGGCCGTTTCTATTTCTATTATATATTAATGACCTTGGATATCTCCTTAAATCTAAATTTCTAATGTTTGCTGATGATTTAAAGATCTTTAATCAAGTTAATAACGACACTGTCACTAGCTTACAATTGGATCTTAACAATCTAACAGTATGGTGTGAAAATAACGCTATGTCTTTAAATCTGGAGAAATGTTATGTCCTAAACTTTAGTCATAAACTCAACAAGTCAACTCCATGTTATAGTATTAGTAATTCAGTTTTGAGAGAGGTTGATAACATTAAGGACTTTATTAGGTGTTGTTCTGGATACTAAACTCACCTTTACTAAACATTATGATTTTATTGTGGCCAAAGCCAATAAAATGTTGGGATGTATAAAAAGATGGACCTCTGACTTTGCAAATGTGCGAATTTTGTTACTACTATTTAATGCTTTTGTAAGATCAGTGTTAGAATATTGCGCTGTCATTTGGTCACCTTTTTACAACATACATATCCTCCGAATTGAAAATGTCCAAGGAAAGTTTCTTAAATATGTAGACTTTAAGCTAAGGTCAAGTAATGTTATTGTGCCGTTTAATCAACTATGTGATTATTTGGGACTCATACCTCTACAAAAAAGACGGATTCATCTTCAGCTTTGCTTTCTTTATAAGATTGTAAATAATTTTGTAGACTCCGGCGAAATTCTGAGCCAGATTTTGTTTGCCACTCCTCACTACAGCACAAGATCCCAATCTCTGTTTAAATTTAATTGCTTTAAGACCAACTACTGTCTCCACTCATCTTTACAGAGACTTTTATGGTTGGGTGGTCTGTGCCGTAGTGAGGTTGATTTTACAGGTGTGAGTTTTAAAGTTTTTAAGTCCCAGCTTAGGAATTTATTTTAGAATGTAAGTTGTGCGTTTCTGTTTATTGTAGTTTATTGTAGTTTTTGTCTTTATTTTACTCTGTAACAGCTTTATTGGCGTTAATAAATGCAATTATTATTATAAGTTTTCGGTTTATTTTTTTTCTTAATTTTTTCA